GACCCAGACCGCACTGGAGCAAACTATTACTACATAGACCCAGACTGCACTGGAGCAAACTATTTCTACATAGACCCAGACCGCTGCTAAAATAATAAAGCTAGAAACAAGTGCTGACATTTTGCAATTGCAGAAGAGAAATATTCAATATTGAAGTTCATTGTCGTAAATATAAAACAAAATGGTTTATAAGTTCAAACCTGGCAAAACGTCAAAGTCGAAGCTTTGTCTTAAAATGCTTAATTGTCACAGCTGGATAGTGGATAGGTACAGGGTGTCCAACGAAACATGACAGTTGTTGAATAGTTTTGAATGTCTTCTTACATATATTATATTGGATATTAAAACATCTTTTCTCAAATTAATTTTACTTTGAAACCAATTTTACAATAAAATAATTTGCATAAAATAAATTTTTTATCATTCTCTTTAATAGCAAACAACTTAACTAATTATGGGAGAAAACATTTTAAACCATTCACCAACTGTCATGTTTCGTGGGACACCCTGTATATCCAGAACGGAGAATTTAAAAAACTGTTTTGTCCGATTTATCGTTTAATACAAAACATATACATTACTGTATAACAAAATATTTTTAATGAGTTTTAACTATAGTAGATATTTCCCTAGGAAACTGCAGTATGCAAGTAGAATGAAGACTTTAAGCTTGACAAAAATTCCTTTTCTTCTTTTGTTATTATTCTAGGTTTGTTCTAAAATATAAAGTTCTGAATGTCAGGAGTTTAAAAATTGTTACCATTTGTTTGTTGGTTTAGTTTAGTATGCGGCCAAAAATAAGGAAATAAAAGCTTGGCTTACAATATGCTAAAATATAATGACAGTATACATCATATGTGTCCACTGTTCAGTGTATACATGACAGGGTGTAGATGTAGAATATATAAACGTTACTTATTACTCCCTCCTGTTTCCTCCTGTTCCCTCCTGTTACCAACTGTTCCCTCCTGTTTCCTCCTGTTCCCTCCTATTCCATCCTGTTCCATCCTGTTCCCTCCTGTTCCCTAATTTTCCTTCCTGTTCCTCCTTTTTCTTCCTGTTCCCTCCTGTTCCAACCTGTTCCATTCTATTCCCTCCTATTCATTAATGTTCCCTCCTGTTTTCTCTTGTTCCTTTCTGTTTCCTCCTGTTTCTTCCTGTTCCCTCATTTCCTAATGCTCATTCATGTTCTCTCGTTACCTCCTGTTTCCTCCTTTCGCTCTTGTTCATGCCTGTTTCCTCCTGTTTCCTCCTGTGTCCTCCTGTGTCCTCCTGTTCCACTCTATTTCCTCCTGTTCCCCCATTTTCCCCTGTTCTCTCTTGTTTCCTTCTGTTCCCTCCTGTTCCATCCTGCACCTTCCTATTGCGTCCTGTTCCCACCTGTTCAGGCCTGTTCATTCCTGTTCCCACCTGTTCCCACCTATTTTCTCCTATTCCCTCGTTTGCTCCTGTTCCCTGTTTCTCCCTCCTTTCCCTCCTGTTCCCTCCTGTTCCCTTCTGTTATCTCCAGTTCCCTCCTGCTCTTTCCTGCTTCGCCCTGTTCCCTCCTGTTCAACCCTGTTCCCTCCTAATTCCTCATGTTCCCTCGTTTCCTCCTGTTCCCTTCTGTTTCCTCCTGTTTCCTCCTGTTTCCTCCTGTTCCCTCCTCTTCCCTCCTAATTCCTCATGTTCCATCTTTTCCTCTTGTTCCCTTCTGTTTCCTCCTGTTTCCTCCTGTTTCCTCCTTTTCCCTCCTGTTCCCTCCTGTTCCCTCCTAAACTATAACCTTGGATCATCTTGTTACCTGAAGTATAAGTACTATGGATCTTATTTATAGTTGAATAGTTTGTACTCGGTGAGCCTTGAGAAGGATTAGGTTTGATACATTAACATAATCATATATTTTTTTCTTTATGCACGGCCTGCTATTTACATTACATATTGACAGGTAGTGATAAAAATGATTTAGAAACTTTTTGAAATTATTGTGTTCTCTCCGCTCTCTCTTTACAGGGTGACACATACAATCGACAAGACTCCGACTCAATTGCCTTTCCTAATTTGATTTTTTAAATGATGTGTTTTCATTGAAGGATTTAAAAAAGATTAATTCAATATATAAGCAAAATTTCTCATTTCGACCTCAGCCTATAAGCTGCCACGCGAGCCGGAATATTTTAGCTGTGGTTTAGCCATTTTAACAAAGTTTATTTGATACAAACTGCAAACCATCAGCTAAACGGACAAGCTTAATATAAAGATAGATATGAAAAATGTGGTTTCAAGAAATTATATGTAAACATCAAAGATAAAGTTATTTTTATGATATTACATATGTTCTTACCATCCATCTCAGGTTTTCAACTGCTCTTGAAATTGATAAGTTTTGAAAGAATTGGTGAAATTGAGAAAAGATAGAATTGAACCAACGCTGAAACTCGTCCATATAGCAATAAAATACTCTATTGATAGTTTAGAAAATAGCTTCAAGGCTACACAAGGGAATTGGAAAAACTTATTTTATATTTTCAATACTGTGGTACCAATGTCTATCTCCTTCTATCTATATATACTTTGCTTGTCTGGGTGTCTGTTTTTGTTTCTGTCCGTGCGTATCTAATAGACATCAATAGAATTTTTTTGTGAAAAATGCGCCTATTCGAAAAGGAAAATCCACAAAGCGCCCTAAAGCCTAGTTCTATAATAAATGTGTAAAATGTACATAAATGCATTGATGAGTCTAGGGCTAAGCGAATTCCAACTATTCAAGCCGTTTTGTTAACGGTTAGTTCCAACCGTTTAAAAAGGAATTGCAAGTAACCGTAAGCTATAAAGGTAAGAACAGAACGTTATTTTCGTTAAGGATATTTTCCATTTTTTTTTCAAATTTACCGTTAGTTAACAATCTCAATTTTATTAACAGATTTAACGGAAGATATTCTGCCGTTATCGGTTTTTATTATGGAGTAACGTTTTAACACAAAGGAATTGAGTTTTTGCCACAAATGCAAATTTTATAATACCTAAATCTCAACAACCAGATTGATGCATACCTTTCATATTTCAAACTTACATTGTTTGATCCACCAGAATTCATACTTTGAAATATCTACGGTCCACGACATTTGGTTTTAAAGAAATTAGGATTTAAGAATCCGAGTTTGTCGCAATGACTCAATTCCTTTGTCAAATTGTGAAGGGTTGTTTCCGTATTAATGGCATTAACGGTTTGATACAACTCCTATATTTATACTAAAAATCGTGAATTGTTCATCAAATTGAATTTACGGCCACATGTTCCATGCAATTTTAGCAGAAAAAAGAACGAAAGTTCTTTAAAACCCCCATCTGTCTCGTTCATGCTTTCAACATTTCATTTGTTTTCTGAAACGGCTAATCCATTTCGTTAACAATTTAAAAATTAATGGTTTTTGCAGTTTGTTAAAGGACTCTACCGTTAATTTTCGAAAACCTCTGTTTCGTTTACGTAACTGTGCCCAGCCTTGTTGATGACAGGGCGCTAGAAAGATTCTTCAGGTTCCAAAAATATCCTTGCTTGTAAAAATCTGTTCTGAGCTGAAAACTTTAGAATGGTGGATATCGAGATTAATGCCTGATCCTCTCTTTTTCTTAATATCGAGACTAACCTAATCTTGTACTTGTATCCTGAAAAGTGTATAAAATTCAACCAATTAGAGTCGCGTATATGAAGCCGATAAATTTGAAATTTTGCGCGCCATTTAAGATTTATATGCAGAAACGGGAGGAACTCTCTAATTAAAAAAAGGTTTTTGATTTTTCTCTGCTTTTTCTAGTGTGTCCATTGGATACTCAGATTAAGTAATCGAGATTAAGGATATCTCATTCTAAAGTTTTCAGCTCTGGAGTGTCTGAGTATCACTACCCCAGCGGGAATAGGGTTAACATTCTTCTCCAAAGTGCAGTACACTTCGTATTCATATAATTATATGGGGGGTTACTGGTACCGAATCAAATGAATTGTAGAGAGATCGTAGAACTTCTTCGCGCCGATTCAGCTTCTTCTTAATAACTCAGTGGCTCAAATTCTAAATCAGCTATTCAAAGATGTTGAGTTACCCTAATTTAAAGCCAGCTGAAGTAAACAACTTCTACATCAAAGCAGAGCGCCGCAATGATAGGGTTGATCAAGATACTGGCTGAAGCAGAATCAGCTACGTGGTTGAACTGTCTCTACGTAGTTCAACGAATTTTAGCAACTGATTAAATCCTGGCTTCTTATTTATCTTTCAGGAATGACGATATCTATTTTGTGATTGCATCTGTTATGATCGATGTTGATATCAAGAAAATGTGTTGGATGATCCCTAATCAAACGCTTTCATGTTTCAGTATCTGCAAAGTAGACAGTTTAAGAGAAGGTAAAATGTATGCAACTTTGTCATCTTGTGTAGTTCCTCTAGTTTTCTAATTTTAGCAAATTGTTTAGGTTATATCTTAGAAAATCAAAACTTTTTTGTTTTCCTGCATTGCTCTTCAATAAGAATAGTTATGATTGAAAGGATATCAGATTGACGCTCATTGTGAATATTGCATGGATTGAAACATTAGTTAACACAAGTGTATGTAAGTTTTCTTCTTCTTCAAATTTACTGATATGCATGGAAAAATATGTTTTCTATGTTGTTTTAGTAAACCCTAAACCAACATATTTATACAACATTACACACAGTTCTCAATGGATGTAAAACCATGCACGTTCATGGTGTTATGGTCAAAATAAATCTTGATTAACATAATTCTTTTCTCTATTCTGTCTGTTGTTAAAGGGACTGTAAACGTAATTTCAAGTGAACCTCTATTTAGATAGTTGTATGTAAACCCCACTATTTAGAGAGTTGCATGTAAAACTCACATTAGTACCCTTTAATCCTTTGTCTAAGCAAAATTTTATCATTCTTAATTCCGGAGAAAATTCAGAGAATGTAAATTTTTGAAAGGAAGAAAAACAACAAAGCTACAGATGGAATCACAACTTTGTATTAATATTTAAATGTTTATTTGAAATATTCAGCACTAAAATGTACAGAATTTAGTATATAACTCGTTCAAAATCTGAAACCAATAGTTTTTAATTTTTACTAAAATTAAAATTTAACGAAACCCTGTTTGTTTGAGCATGAGTTCACAGATAATTTTCTGCACGGAGACCAACACGTTCTTGACGAGGTCGGTGTCGGTGGCCGTGGTGTAGTAGGTGTAGATGTCACGCTTGGTGTTTTCGTTCTGATCCAGGAACTTTTTTCTTATATAGCATCTAGAATAATACAAAAAAGGAAACAAAAATCAAAGGTTCGATCAATGGGGAAATAGATGTAAACTCAAATTCAGAATTGCCATTAGTGATTGTTAAATGTTTCATTTTTGCATCTTTCTTACTTGGCGTCTTCTGCAGTATTTGGTCCCTTGTAGTCGTATTCCTGTATCCAAGACGGGGTTAAATAAATAGGAAAATTAGATGCTACTATTCTTATTTGGATCCGGTTTAAGTGAAACATAAATCATTAAATTCTTATAGAGGATCCACGTTAGAATAATACCAAAATAAAAAGTTTTATAAAATGAAAAATTTTACATTGATTAGATTAAAGTGCATATTCGTTAAACTAACACTTTAATGACGGGATAAGCCAACATTGGCCGTCTTTAATGGAAAACCCGGATGTTATTGTATTATGGGGGGGGAGGGTTACGGATCTTTAAAAAAATGTTAATTATGTTTAAAAAATTAAAAGGAATTGAATCTTTGGAACAAAATCAAATATTTAAACCACAATATCTTTAGAACTCGATGTTGTAAACCTTTGATATTTCAAACTCAGATTACTTGATCCAACAGAATTCATAGTTTGAAATATCTCAGGTATTCAACATTTGGTTCCAAAGATATAGTGATTAGAAAATCAGAGTTTGATTCAGGAAATATATTCTAAACATATAAAAATAAAATATAACTATTCAGGAAATATATCCTAAACATATAAAGATAAAATATAAATATTCAGGAAATATATCCTAAACATATAAAAATGAAATATAAATATTTAGGAAATATATCCTAAACATATAAGAATAAAATATAAATATTTAGGAAATATATCCTAAACATATAAAAATAAAATATAAATATTTAGGAAATATATTCTAAACATATAAAAAAAAAGTTTAACTATTCAGAGCCATCAAAGTTTTAAAATATACACAGGATGAGACTATATAATCGCCTAAAGACAATATAAATAGCGTACAGTCGTCTGTTATGTCTCATCCTTTGTGGGTAAACCTGTACGGTCTGTAGACTGTACGTCGTAGATGGAAAACAACCGTTTTCTATTTTTACATCTTATAATTTTTCTTGGTCTTTTCGTGGGTTTATAATTGATTAAAACTGGGATTCAACCGACATTCCTTGTGGGGATTTTAATGAATTGTTTTAACAGAACTTTCTAACTTTAAAATTATGAGATCAAGGATTGAACAATTTTTTCTGTTTCTGCAATTCAAAATTGCGATGTAAATGCCGATTTCATCCTGTTTGTCGCTGTTTTATGGCTTTTATGATGATGTTTATTTTGTATTGATGATAATACAATTTTGCTTTAACAATTTTCGAAGCACACTCAGAGCCTTAGAAATAAAAACTCTCGGAAATGAAAGAATCAAAATCAAATCATTTCGGTTAACTCAATTTTATCTTTAAAGAAACCACTATAATGCAGAATTATTTTTTATAGAATTACTTTAGATGCACTTTGCTTCAAAGACAACGAAACTATTTTGGAAACAAAAACATGGAGATGAGGTTTCAAGTCTTATTTTCTTGATTGGGGGTAGTTTTTAAGTTTCTATAAATCTAAAGTTACAATATTATTAGCAACGTTTCTGCCATAGCCACAAACCTTAATACTTTACAATTTACACTATACAGTTGCAATTCTCAAGCTCAGCACAGTTTTATTGTACATTGCATTTACTTTTATAAAGGTTTTATAAACTTTTTGGGATTGCATGAAAACCCCTTTTTTGCTTTATGTTTGACTATAGTTTGTATTGGCTGTTAGCGTGTTAATTAGTCCTAAAATGAGATTCAGTGCTCCCCCCCATGCACTCTCTTTTATTTTGTACACTGCATTCACTTCTATAAAATTTATTTTAAAACTTTTTTGGAAGTGGGTAAAGCCTGTTTTTTTATGTTTAACTATAGTTTGTATTGGCTGTAGCGTCTTTATTAGTCCTAAAATGGGATTCATCGCTCCCCCCCTCTCTCTCTCTTTTATTTTTTACATTGCATTCACTTCTATAAAATTTATTTAAAAACTTTTTTGGAAGTGAGTAAAACCTGTTTTTTTTATGTTTAACTATAGTTTGTATTGGCTGTAGCGTCTTTATTAGTCCTAAAATGGGATTCAGCGCTCCCCCCCTCTCTCTCTCTTTTATTTTTTACATTGCATTCACTTCTATAAAATTTATTTAAAAACTTTTTTGGAACTCGATGAAGCATGTTTTTTATGTTTAACTAAAGTTTGTATTGGCAGTTAGCGTCTTTATTAGTCCTTAAATGGGATTCAGCGCTCCCCCCCCTTCTTTGTTTTATTTTGTCACATTGTTTTACAATAAACAAGCAATTATTGCTTAGGCCAGGCCCTCCCCTCTTCCGTTTCTTCTAGAAAATCTCACTTCAGGCTAATCTATAAAATTCGTTTTAAACGAATAAAACGTATTTGTTAACATTTCATAAAACAAATGAAATCGAAAAAGATCCTTGATTCTAGACATAGAATAGATTGCGGATACATCAAACCAAACCAGATCCTTAATTCTAGGAATGGATTGCGGATACATCAAACCAAATCAGATCCTTGATTCTAGGAATGGATTGCGGATACATCAAACCAAACCAGATCCTTGATTCTAGAAATAGATTACGGATACATTAAACCAAATCAGATCCTTGATTCTAGGAATGGATTGCGGATACATTAAACCAAATCAGATCCTTGATTCTAGGAATAGATTACGGATACATTAAACCAAATCAGATCCTTGATTCTAGGAATGGATTGCGGATACATCAACCAAATCAGATCCTTGATTCTAGGAATGGATTGCGGATACATCAAACCAAACCAGATCCTTGATTCTAGGAATGGATTGCGGATACATCAAACCAAACCAGATCCTTGATTCTAGGAATGGATTGCGGATACATCAAACCAAATCAGGAAACTCGACAACCCTGTTTATTTCCGGGAATATTCTGAACAGTGCTTTATTTTATCGGACAACATAGACCGGGGGGAGAATAAGGGAAATCATAGATTTACATCACAGGAATACACTGCAAGTGGGGCTATGGTGCTCAATCCCTCCTGGGATCTGATAAATCTATGGTTTCCCGGGGGTTTTCAGGCCCTAACGGATCCCAAGCCCCCCTGGAAAGAAAAAATGTAATCCCCCTCTGGAAAAAAATCCTGTGTATGCCCCTGTTTACATCTATATATTATTGGAATTGTCTGTTTGTTGGTTTCAATCCAATAAAAATAAAACCGGCTGAAGTCATAGGCAGAGGGAGATAGTTTTGTTCGGAACCCTAGTCATCGTTTACGACCAACCGCAATTAAAATTTTGCCATCATACACTTTATTTTAAAAAAACCAACAATCCAAAAAATCAGCAACACAATAAAATCGATATTTTTGAATGTACTAAGAAAAGGTGGTTGCAAGATAAGAAACATTTAAAAATTAAAATGAATCTCCCGGAGGCTTGGTTTATTAGATGAGCCCAGAAACAACAAAACTGTTCAGTCGTTGAACTCTTTCATAACTGTTTAGTTGAACTGAATATGCAGTGTTGTGGACAAATTCATTTGAGAGATATAAAACTTTTACAGATCTGTAAATCCTGAGTTTGAGCGGAAATTCGAAATCGTACTTTTGGGTGGATACGTTTCAAGAATTGTTTTTTTTAATTATTGAATAACGACGACCAAAAACTGTGAACAAAACTCTACAGTAAACTAATTAGTTGTAAAGGAACAGGTTGAGAAAATAAGAATCAATCTTATCATCGAAAATAAGAGTAATCTTATTCAATTATTAGTTTTTATAATCTCATATCATTTACAAAGATTTTCTTCAGATTTTCTGGAAGTATTATTGAAAAGACGACATTTGAAGAATTTGTAGAAATAATAAATTCAATATAATGATGAAAACGAAATAATTGATTCTATCATTGATTTATTGACAAAGGAAAGGAGTTTTTGTCACAAACTTAATTTTGAAATCCCTATATCTTCAGAACCTGATGAAGTAAACCTTTGACATTTCAAACTTAGATTATTTGATCTAACAGCATACTTTGTTTGAAATAAATAAGGTCTAAGACATTGGGTTCCAAAGATATAGGGATTGGAAAATCAGAGTTTGTGGCAAAGACTCAATTTCTTTCTTTTGAGAAATATGTTCCTAAACATCTAATTTTTACTTTACTTTTCTTCATCGCTATTTAATAATTTAAAAAAACCGATTCTGAAAACGTACCCACCCGACTAGCTTTGCACTCAAACTTAGTAATTATACATCGTGGAAATGTTTTATATGTCTCAAATGAATCCTAAAGAATTTGTCCACAACACTGCATACTCAGTTCAACTGCCTTACATAGCCGGTCTATTCCTTTAATGTAGACCTTGAAGACCTCTTTCACAATAAGTGTGATTTCTATTTATGCATCATGATTCATGAATCAGATTGTTCTTTAGAAAATAATTTAAGTAAGGATGTTCTGTTAAAACATCTTATTAAGATTATAACTGTGAACTATAGACAGAATTGGAGAAGGTCAAATTTATGCAACATTACTATAATGCGACTTTGTGAACTCGTAGCATCTCTAGTTTTAATTTTAAACACAATTATGAGAAAATCACATTCTTATGTACACAGTACAGTCTATCTTCATCTATAATACGGTAAATAAACACGTTTTCACGTAGAAGAGATCAACATTATAAATAAACATTCACTTTCTACTCAAGACAAAATTTAATTTTAATAATTAAGTTTGCAAACATTTCTTTTGAATTTAATTAAATAAATTTGTTTTCCAACTTGCAAATTATATTTCCATATTTCCATAATTCAATACTCACTCCAGACCTCGTCTTTAAAGGCAGGTGGCTATTATATATCTGTCTATTTTTCTGTCTGTCTGTCTATGTTGATGTCTGTGTTTATGTCTTATCCATCTGTCTGTCTACGTTAATGTCTGTGCTTATGTCTTATCTGTCTGTCTATTCATATATATGTTGATGTTTGTGTTTATATCTTGTCTGTCTATCATTCCTTGTCTTTCTAACTTTGCAAATTTCTATCTTATATATCAATCAATCAATCAATCAATCTATCTATCTATCTATCTATCTATCTATCTATCTATCTATCTATCTATCTATCTAGCTATCTATCTATCTATCTATTTATCTATCTATTTATCTATCTATCTATCTATCTATCTATCTATATTACCTCCTTGTTAAGGAAGAGTATAAAAGGAGTGTTGAGGAAGAATGGACTAGATAACATTTGTTTGAACATATCCAGGCTCTCCTATTCAATAAGTTAAGTGTTTTCCACAAACTTAAATTTACAAATCTCTGTCTTTTCCACCTGATGGTGTAAAACTTTGATATTTAAAGCTTAGAGTATTATATCTAACAGAATTCATAGTTTAAATTATCTAAGGTCTACGACATTGGGTTCCCAAGATATAGGGATTTTAAAACTCAATATCTTTATACTAATACTTATTGAACATACAGTAATTATTTTTCTAATTGATTAACATTGCTTTTAAAACATTGCTTTCGTATAAACTTTTTAATATTTTACTGTACTTTCTTGTAATACCGTGAAACTGATGTTATTTATAAAAATCTAAATCATTCCGCATATTATTTCTTCTAAACGCAAGACGTTTTTTTATTAAAAAAAATATTTTTATTTTAATTTAATCCCTTCAGGGTAAAGAAGATATATATAGAGTGACTGTTGGCAAACTTTTAACTGTTCTTGTTTTTATTTGGAGTTTCAAAAGGAAATGAGTTTTTGCCACAAACTCCAATTTCCCTATTTGTTTGTAACCTGATGTCCTTATATTTCAAACTATGAATTCTGTTAGATCAAAAAGTTTAAGTTTAAAATATCAAAGTATCAAAGTATCAAGTTGCAAAGATATTGGGATAGGAAAATTTGAGTTTGCGTTAAAAACTCAGTAATTCTTTCCTTCCTTAAACAATGAGAATCCTGAGCCTAGAAATTATAATGTTTATCATTTTTTATCCGCTGAAAACCGGTTCCAATTGAGCGCCGGCACAAATCTCGAAACACTGAATACAATTTCAAGTGGAACCAACTATGTTTGAACCGCGTCTCATATTTGAGCCGTGTCTGAAATTCTTTGATAGGTGTTCGTACATGGGGGGGGGGGGATACAGAAAACAAAAGTTTCAGTTTTTACGGCACGTTAAACTCCCTTGTTAAGAGAATACTGGATATCTAAGCAGTCAAATTTAAAATTTAACCTCTCTTGGGTCTAACAATGTTTATGTATTTGGAAACATCTCATAAAAGGACATTCAAACAACATGAAAAGTCAAAACATAGAAATTGTTCAACACACGCCAAAATATTCGTCAAAAGAACCGTCTTGTAGAAACAGATTCCAGATATACAGTAATATCCAGAAAACTTTGGAAAAGGAAGACGACTTTTAAACTAAATTTATGATTTTAAATAGTCCATTGAACATTAAACAAAGCAATTGTGCAGTGTAAACAGAAAAACTTCTGGTATTACTATTTGCTTTGTAACAACATCAAATATACTTAATCATTGATGTAATGTCGTCTTCCTATTCCACAGATTCTGGTTCTCACTGTAGGTAAAGATGAATAGAACAAAGCACGGAAAGATTTTCGTGTCCGAATGTAATTTTGTAAATATTTTAGCACAAAACGAATTATGGGTTCCTTTACATCATTACAACCAAGAATGTAAGGCAAGGAAAGTCAATTGCGGTCGTGTATACTCTGTGTACATATTGAAACCAGTTCTCTTTGGGTGGAATTTGTAAACAATAATAGATGCATCAGTGTTCGTTTAGTATCCGAGGAGGTTAAAAGCATTAAATTTTTATAATTTTGATAATTCACATAATAATTTCCTATGACCAGAATATTTCATTGATTTTTTATGTGAATGATGGATCCCATGTCAGGCTTCGACATCCGTCTTGTGTTTACATTAGCGCCCAGAGACAGTACACTGCAGTACTAAAGATGTGTACACTTCTTAAATGACTTTCCTTGCCTTACATCCTTGATTACAACTAATTTTATTCGTAATAAATTACCGCTAACTCACTTCGGCAACTTGATTTTTTAGTAAACATAATTGACATAAGTATCAATTTCACTCATTATACTCGAAATAGGATACACCCTTTCTATAGGGATGCACCTTTTCTATAGGGATACACCTTTTCTATAGGGATACACCTTTTCTATGGGGATACATACACCTTTTCTATAGGGATACACCTTTTCTATAGGGATACACCTTTTCTATAGGGTTACACCTTTTCTATAGGGATACACCCTTTCTATAGGGATACACCCTTTCTATAGGGATACACCTTTTCTATATGGATTTTTCTATAGGTGAAACTCTACTAAATGTTGTTGCCAGAAAATAAAGTTGTCTGATTCTTATATATATCTTTGCACCCTGATACAGTAAACCTTTGATATTTCCTAGTTAGATTATTTTATATAAAAAAATTCATAGTTTTAAATATCTAGGTTCTACGACCTTGAGTTGCAAAGATATAGTTATTTATAGAAAATCAAAGTTTGTGACAAAGACTCAATTCTATTGTCTAAACAACATTATTATCCTATATATATAATATAAATATGTTTAATATTTTTAAATAAAATATATGCATTAGATTATCTTTTTGTGTAATATTATAAAAATCTGTTTTTGATGATTTTTTATTTATATCTTTTCTCCGTTTGCTAAGGTCAAAACTCCATTTACATATTGGATGTTAAATATCCAGGGTGAACCATAAAAAAATGTTCAAGATAAAACTATAAAGGAACTGACCACTCCCCACTAACTTCATTTTTTCTAAATCGTATTTCTTTAAATAGTTTTTAAAATCCAAGGTTTATCTCATCTATTTTCAAGGAAAATTGATTAGCAAATCAGAGTTTGTCGCAAGTGTTCATAATAATAAGAAAAAGTGATACCAAGTGAACCCAGGAAAAAAGTTTTATTTGAAGTTTAATCCTCTAAATCTGAAAAATAAAAGAAAAATTGGGAAAAATTGTTACGTTAAAATTTTCATTTTTTCAATTTAAGCCAAATTTTTTATTCAATTCTATAAAAAGAAAAATCATGCATTGTAAACAGTTGTTATCTATTCTATTGTTCCAAGTATATTTGAATACAAAAGTTAAATTCTGTCTATAGTTCCTGTAATAAATATTGGGTTACACAATATTCCGTAAAATTTACAGTACGTTGTACATTATAATGATCGATGTTTTTACATAAAACCCATTTATTTGAACTGCATGTTGGTACGGCTATACCTTGATGTATGTTGGTACGTCTATACCTTGATGCATGTTGGTACGGCTATACCTTGATGCATGTTGGTACGGCTATACCTTGATGCATGTTGGTACGGCTATACCTTGATGCATGTTGGTACGGCTATACCTTGATGCATGTTGGTACGGCTATACCTTGATGCATGTTGGTACGGCTATACCTTGCTGCATGTTGGTACGGCTATTCCTTGATGTATGTTGGTACGGCTATACCTTGCTGCATGTTGGTACGGCTATACCTTTATGCATGTTGGTACGGCTATGTAAAAATGTGTTTACTTATTCTCTCTAATCTATGTTTATATAAATTGAATTTAAAAGTTGAAAGTTGACAATTTTGAACAATAATTGAATTTTAGGTAAAAAGTAGTCTGGGGAACTGAATTTACTGCAAAGAGAATTTTTATCAAACTAAATTGGGTTTATGGCATAAAAAAACGTTTTGATATGCAGACCTCAAAATATTTACTTTGTGACATTTTTGTGGCTCGTTTTCTTTTGCAATAATATGTTTTCCATAATTATAGTTTCGAGGGTCACTGCCGAGTCCTCCATTGAGAAAATATGAAACTCAACTTTTCTGATTTCAACCATTTTGTTAACCAAGGTTATAATGCTAGGAAAGTTATTTCAGAGGTGTACGGATCTTTTGTACTGCAGTATAGTGTCTCTGGCTGGTAATGTAAACACAAGACGGATGTCAAAGCCTGACATGGGATCCATCTTTCACATAGAAAAATCAATGAAATATTCTGGTCACAGGAAACTATTATGTGAATTATCAAAATTATCAAAATGTAATTCTTTTAACCTCCTCGGATACTAAACGAACAAATACCGCCAAGAGAGAACTGGTTTCAATATGTACGCAGAGCATACGGAACTGCAATTAACTTTCCTTGCATTATAACCTTGTTGTTAACTACAGTTGGGAATTTTCGTGAGAAATTTGGCTCATTTAAAGAAATAGTTAGATTTCTATGGGAAGTGTAATTTATGGCCTTTATTTCTAATGACAGTGTAATCATTTTAACACAATTTTAGACATTAGCAATATAAAAACACTTGCCGATGTTTTCATTATGCAGTTACCGTCGGGAAAAAAAAACATTAAAAAGTATCAATTCAGTTTAGAATTAAACAAGTAATTACTATTTTTGTACAGTGAATCCCAGATATACGAATATATAGCAAGAGTTTTTACAATGTCGTATTCTCAACATATTTAAGATAAAATGCCGCGAAAAAAAGATGTCCTTCATATTTCAGGGCTATTAATTTACCTAGAATTTAAAATAAAAAGCAGTTTCTTAAAACTCTACAATGATATTTGGATATATTTTCATAAATCGTGTTTAACCCTTTGAAGCTTCTTTCTTTTTGTGCAGAACAGTGATGAAGCATTACTGAGATTTCATAAATTTTTTTATAAATTTAAAGACGACATTTCATGTGATCTTGCTATATATTCTTTTATGTGACATTGACTGTAATTTAATAATTTTTCATATCTTATTTTTAACAATTGTTATCTTTTTTTTAATAACATTTTGCTTAAATGGTTAAAACTAAGGGGGTAAAGGGTACCCCCCCCCCTCTCCAATATTCTCTTACCAGCATTCTGTTTGTAGAGTCATCCTCATAGAGCACCTGGTCATATTCACTCAATGCAATAATAAACAGAACTGAAATTTTAAAAACTGGTTTATTTCAGTTAATCCTGTTCATTTCTCTACCTGCTGTAATCTAAACGAAGTAAATATTTAAGAATCGTCGATATCAAGCAGTGCTTTATCACCTCTTTTTATTAATATTTTTATTTTACGTTAATATCCAGAAAATGGTCTAAACTGCAACCAATAAGGTGACGATTGTAGAAACCGAACAGCAAATCAGAAGCCGAGAAATTATTTTTTTGTTGCGTGCAATCAACGCTTATTGGTTCGAAGACAGCAGGGATATCCAAAAGAGTGAGGATTAAGCAGAAAATCAAAAATGTCGACAACGGATGCAGAGATTTAGCAATCAGGGGGTATCCGATACGAGAGTTTTCAGTTCAAGGGATTTATAATAAAGTGAAGGGGGATAGAGTTTATAAACATTTTACATTGACATATTAATTGTGCAGTAAATAAACAACAGTTAGTTTATATACCTGACCTGACCAGTACGACCTTTGTTTACAATCGTTGTCACGTTGTAAAATGTTTAGTGCCCAAAAACATATTCTTATATTTTTTATTATAAATTCATTGAATGTAAGGAATATATGTATTATACTGGGCAATGGGCATCCTTTTTTATTCATAATTTTAACATTTAAAGTTTTTACATTTTTTACATTTTACGTATTTTGCTCTGGCTCAGACCAAAGCAAGGCTTCATTAACAAATAATTAGAAAAAAGTTTAAGCATATTTTGGAACTTTAGGAGCATTCAAGTTTTTACCCTCTTAGATTTTTGATAAGCCTCTAGAAAGGAATTGAGTCTTTGCCATTATATCTTTGCAACCCAATGTCGTATACCTTTGATATTTCAAACTTTGAATTCTTTGAGGTCAAATGATATTTAAAATATCAAAGGTTTACACCATCCGGTTGCAGAGATAAAGGGATTAGAAACTTGGAGCTTTTAACAAAGACCCAATTTAGATAACGACGTAGGAATTGTTATAAATATAAGTAATGTCCAAGACTAAGTTTGTACCTGCTGTAACCTGATCAAAACAATGAATCCATTTTCTTCTCTCCGACCTCTGCCCTCCTACATCAACTATACGAGCAGGGTCAGGTTTATTAGAGTTAGAGTAAGAATATAACGGATTTTATAGATTTTTTGCATTGTTAGATGTTAGGGTTATATGAAAAGTAGAAAATTTAGTTCTTTAAGATTTAATTGTTTAGTGGATAATTAAAGATGAAAAAGGGGGGGGAGTCAAAAGTTAAAAACTTCAATAAAAATAGAAAAAAAATTTAATCAAAACCCTCGACCTAGTTCAAACTTGTCTTTATTAACCTAAACATTATAAAAGTAAAAATATAGATTAAATATTATGAAACTTGAGAGTTAAAAAACACCAGGTGCAATTTCATCTGCAGACTTGGATCCACAATGGTAACATTGAAAGCTTCGTCTGATCAAGATTGAAAGAAATACAAGTATTTAATTTTCAATAAAAAAGAAAAAAAATTAGTTAATTTTTTTCTTATTAAAAGTTAAAAGCTTTCATTTTCTGCTGAAGAAATCATGGATGGAATTGTCAGAGTTAAACACTTTTCAAGGAGAAAAACAAGGATTTCTTTAATATTACAGATCCTTTAAAGGCCCTTTAAATGACACCTGTACTAAACGCGGAATTCAAATTAAAATTAATTAAATGCTAAAACAATTTGTATATTGATAATGAAGTTATACATGTTGTAATTTTATTTTGTTACAAATCAGAGAGAGGTAGAAATTTAAATGTGGTTTAAGCTCAACAGTGTACTGTGAAATTGGTTGATTTCTGCCAATGCTTCAAGTTTAACAATGGGTTAGAAAATCTTATACATATTTTGATCCCATCCAACGAGGTTATAGTGTATAGAGTGATGATATACGCTAATCCTTTACTAATTGTACAGGCCATAAACTATACCGAGAGCGTACTGCATATTTGTTAATTATAAGGAGATTCTGGCCTAACCATATATAATATATCATTATTAGTAAACAGTTGTAAGTGTACAGTTCGTACAGTACAGCTAACTGAGCAAACAGGTAGAGAACTATTCTTCCCCCTGAGCCCATCCCTGCGAATACTGAACTTGTTGTACATGCAGGGTTATCCACAAAGGATGAGACTTCAGAGACGACTGTACAGAATTTAGTTAATATTTTTCTTTATATGCACGGTTCCCTACCCCTGTAAACCGGTTTCTTCGTTGGTAAATTATTTTATATTTCCCTAAAAAAACTTCACTCAAGGCATAAGCCTAAGTTCAGCCCCCAGATTGTTAAAAAGAGCGTTAGGTAATCATTAAAGTCTCATCCTTTGTAGGTAATACAGTTGCAAAAATACCTTTTCTCATTTCTTTATTATTCATAGAGCCAATTATTTAAGATGCTAGGAACACAGACCACATTTTAATAATTTAAACACACTTCGATCTCAAATAATAATTTTCTTTTCATTTTAGGAATGTGTATATTATTAGGTTTGGTTTGGTTCGAATTCCTTCGAAACTTCCTTATCACAATTTCCTTGGGATTAATAAAACATTTTTGCATAACTGCGAGGCTTAAGTATTGTTGATTATATAATTGCATGCCAATATTAGAATAATGGACACTACTACTGCTGACAATAAACACGATACTTCTTATTATTGACAGCTTTCTCGTCAAATTTAAATATTGGTTTTCTTCAACCAATATTCTTCAGTAAACCGGCCCTTTAACTAAAATATATATTTCCAACTTTTTAACAAAATTATGACACTATTGAATCCCTGATATTTACATTGCAACCCTGAAACCAGGGTTGTAATGTTAGATTGCAACCCTAAGGATGCAATCTAATTAATTGAGAATTTTTCAGCCAAGAAGTTGCGTGTTTAGAACTCCGAAAACATAAAATAGATTTGATTTCTGAACTCAAAAATATATGTTACAAAACTAAATAGATTTTACAGTTTTTATAACCTGAAAAAGGTAGATTTTGTTGTAAATTAAAATGTTGGAAAAATCTCCAAAAATTTGTTTAAAAGTTGAAGAAATCACATATCTCTTCTGAGGCAACAGATATGCAATAAAGATCGGAGGGAATGTTATATTGCCTTGGCTTCCCTTGGCAATGTAATATTCCCTTCTATATTTATTGCAGACCTATTGGCTCCCCTGTAATGAAGAATTGTAAAACATTATACCTACACTGTGGAATATGGGTGTTTATTTTGAATATTCCACTCATAGATTAATAACAATACAGACAATACACTACATGTCGTCTCTAAAATTTTAAGGGTTTTTCGTTCACAATAGTCCTAACGCAGAGGCACAAATGAGTTTCGCGCATGCCGAGTTGAATGACAAGACAGAGAGAGAGCATGTGCGTAACTTCTTTGGGCTTCTGCCTCAGGGTTATTGTGAACGAAAACCCCCTCAATCTTGAAACAACGACTTCTAGTGTTCTATCTGTATTGTTATTAATCTATGAGTCCAATGAACATGATACACGTCAATTGTACAGTAAGCCTCAACACCCAATTTTTTCTTTAATTCAAAACAATTCTTTTAGTGATTGTTTGTAAAATGCGACTATTTAAGGCCTCAGGGTTCTAAGATGAATAGAGATATGAGATGGTGGTGGGAGGGGGAGTGGGGTGTTGCCCCCTGATATACCTGGAACGGGACGGATATTATCCCTGTAGTTATTGTCCTGGCTCTTAGTACATCTGCTTCTGTAGGTATATAGTCCGGAGAACTAATCCGAGGAATATTATCCAGGAAATATCCAGCAGAATCCAACAACTAGATAATATTACAAAATTAGGTCGATCTTTGAAGGGATCGTTCACTACTTTGGACACTTGAGTGAATCTAAATTCTAGGTAGTCAGCTATTTTGAGTTTGGTGATTTAGTGCGAATTTTTAGTCTAGTTCTTGTTAATATTATGAATGAGGGGGGGGGAAGGGATTTTTTTAACTACATTAATTATTCTGGAAATGTATTCTGTTCAGCTGTTTAGGGTACTATTGTGAATCAGGTATGCAAATCTCGGGATCAGGTCGACAGTGCCTTGTTGCTATTCTCATTGCCTGATTTTTAGGGATATAGACAATTGTTTGATTTTTAAGAAAAAAAGTATTCCTTTTATTCCTCACAAGTCACAATATAAAATTCTTTCTTTCTTTTTTAAAATTATATTAGTCTAATCCTTCTACACCAATTTAGATTAAAAATACTCTCTACTGAACCTAAAACCTTGGTATCCTGGAACCGTGGTTCAACTACGTTTGCACAGTTTAACTACTGCTCGCTTTTCAGTAAATCTGGTTTCTTTATAACCAGAGTTGAAAACTGTAGAATGTTGGATATCGAGAAATTAATGCTTCTTTATCTCCTCTTTTTCTTAATCTCCAAATTAAATAATTATTCTTAATCTCCAGATTAATTAACAGATCGGGATTAAGAATATTCCATTCTAAAGTTTCCAGCTCGACCTGAAATTATTAGAATTGTGGAAACCAAGATCACTATATCTCCTCTTTTTCTTAATCTTAAGATTATTTTAATCTTTATCCATTAAAATTCTACCAATTTCAGAGTGTACCAAAAGAGAGGATTATGAAAATAATAAGTTTCCACAGTGGATATTCAGATTAAGTGGTCGGGATTAGTATCCAATTCTAAAGTTTTCAGCTCAGTCTGCTCTATAGTACCAATCTACTTTAGAATCTTTATAATACTAAACCAATCTACTCTAGTATCTACATGATACTAAACCAATCTACTCTAGAATCTACATTATACTAAACCAATCTACTCTAGTATCTACATGATACTAAACCAATCTAGTCTAGTATCTACATAAAACTAAACCAATCTAATCTAGTATCTACGTGATACTAGACCAATCTACTCTAGTATCTACATGATACTTAACCAATCTAGTCTAGTCTCTACATGATACCAAACCAATTTACTCTAGTATCTACGTGATACTAAACCACTCTACTCTAGTATCTACATGATACTAAACCAATCTAGTCTAGTATCTACATGATACTAAATCAATCTACTCTATTATCTACATGATACTAAACCAATCTACTCTAGTATCTACATAATAATAAACCATTCTAGTCTAGTGTCTATATAATACTAAACCAAACTACTCTATTATCTACATAATACTAAACCAATCTACTCTAGTATCTACATGATTCTAAACCAATATAATCTAGTATCTACATGATACTAAACCAATCTACTCTAGTATCTACTTGATACATAACCAATCTACTCTAGTAGTTACATGATAATAAACCAATCTACACTAGTATCTACACGATACTAAACCAATCTACTCTAGTATCTACATGATACTACACCAATCTACTCTAGTAGCTACATAATACTAAACCAATCCTCTCTAGTATCTATATGATACCAAACCAATTTACTCTAGTATCTACATGATACTAAACCAATCTACTCTAGAATTTACATGATACTAAACCAATATACTCTAGTATCTATACATGATACTAAACCAATCTACTCTAGTATCTACATGATACTAAACCAATCTACTCTAGTATCTACTTGATACAAAACCAATCTACTCTAGTATTTACATGATAATAAACCAATCTACACTAGTATCTACACGATACTAAACAAATCTACTCTAGTATTTCTATGATACTAAACCAATCTACTCTAATATCTACATGATACTACACCAATCTACTCTAGTATCTACATGATACTACACCAATCTACTCCAGTAGCTACATGATACTAAACCAATCCTCTCTAGTATCCATACGATACCAAACCAATCTACTCTAGTATTTACATGATACCAAACCAATCTACTTTAGTATCTACATGAAACTAAACCAATCTATTCTCTAGAATTTACATGATACTAAACCAATATACTCTAGTATCTATACTTGATACTAAACCAATCTACTCTAGTATCTACATGATACTAAACCAATCTACTCTTGTATTTACATGATAAACCAATCTACACTAGTATCTACACGATACTAAACCAATCTACTCTAGTATCTATATGATACTAAACCAATCTACTCTAGTATCTACATGATACTGCACCAATCTACTTTAGTAGCTACATGATACTAAACCAATCCTCTCTAGTATCCATATGATACCAAACCAATCTGCTCTAGTATCTACATGATACCAAACCAATCTACTCTAGTATCTACATGATACTAAACCAATCTACTCTAGTATCTACATAATACCAAACCAATCTACTCTAGTATATACATGATACTAAACCAATATACTCTAGAATTTACATGATACTAAACCAATCTACTCTAATATCTACATGATACTAAACCAATCTAATCTAGTATGTACATGATCCTAAACCAATCTTCTCTAGTATTTACATGATCCTAAACCAATCTGATCTAGTATCTACATGATACTAAACCAATCCATTCTAGAATCTACATGATATTAAACCAATCTACTCTTGTATCTACATGATACTACACCAATCTACTTTAGTAGCTACATGATACTAAACCAATCCTCTCTAGTATCCATATGATACCAAACCAATCTGCTCTAGTATCTACATGATACCAAACCAATCTACTCTAGTATCTACATGATACTAAACCAATCTACTCTAGTATCTACATAAGACCAAACCAATCTACTCTAGTATCTACATGATACTAAACCAATATACTCTAGAATTTACATGATACTAAACCAATCTACTCTAATATCTACATGATACTAAACCAATCTAATCTAGTATGTACATGATCCTAACCCAATCTTCTCTAGTATGTACATGATCCTAAACCAATCTGATCTAGTATCTACATGATACTAAACCAATCTACTCTAGAATCTACATGATATTAAACCAATCTACTCTAGTATCTACATGATACTAAACCAATCTACTCTAGAATCTACATGATACTAAACCAATCTACTCTAGTATCTACATGATACTAAACCAATCTACTCTAGTATTTACATGATACTAAACCAATCTACTCTAATATCTACATGATACTAAACCAATCTAATCTAGTATGTACATGATCCTAACCCAATCTTCTCTAGTATGTACATGATCCTAAACCAATCTGATCTAGTATCTACATGATACTAAACCAATCTACTCTAGAATCTACATGATATTAAACCAATCTACTCTAGTATCTACATGATACTAAACAATCTACTCTAGTATGTACATGATACTAAACCAATCTACTCTAGTATGTACATGATGCTAAATCAATCTACTACACTATCCATATTATACCTGAAACTCTGATCTTCTCTCCAGAGTTTTCTTTATCCCTGGATCCATCCAGAGCTCTTGTATTTTAGCTCCAATATCAGGATCTAGTACAGATCCTGAACTCTCATCTCGTTCACTGATATACTTCAAAACCTCATCCTTTAAACCCAATTTATTCATTTACGTACTCTTCAACTATTTACAAACTAATTATGGATGAGGTGATCATTAGCCAGATTCATTGAAAAAGTTATGTTTATTCCTTTTGATAAAAATATTTTTAAATTATTTTTATCTTTATAATAATATTTTCTTGCTGAGTTATTTTATTTTCTTTTTATGAAACCATGAGATTAACAATAAAAATAATGTTATATCATCTTGGTATTATAAATTCAATTAAATGGGTTCCTTTATCTTTTTTGAAGCAATTTCATACTCAAATCTAAATAGAAAAGATTTGAAAGCATTGGATTCTTGCAGGTTTTATGTGAACATTTTCTTTATTTGAGGAGAAATAGAGAAATCTTTCCCCCCTACTTGTAATTCTAATAGGTTCTAACTTCTAGTGCTTTGATCTATTCTTAAATATCTATTTTCGAGAATTCTTAACTCTTTGATATTTATTACTTTTAACATCTGATTTAAGGGATTGCTCTCTTGATTGACAAAGAAAACAAAGTTAAACCCACTTTTTAGAATCAGCGATAAATCTAAGATAATACAGTGAAACCCTTAATAACGAATACATCGGAAGAATTTAGCAAATGTCGTCTTCATAATTTTTCAATGAGTTTTATACTATATTATGTAAATTTCAGTATTTGCGAAAATAAATAGATAGCCATGAATATGCGGGAACATTTTTAAAGAGTTCCATATAATCATTTCATTAAAAAACTAAATATCTGCAACATTCAATTATCAGAAAGTGAAGAATACGACATTTGATGAATTCTTTCGTTGTATTCGTTATTAAGGGTTTCACTGTATTATTGCTCAAAAATGTTTCTGAAATTTAATTTTTTCTCAAATAGAATCTCGTTTGTGGAAAATAATTATTTTTTAATTTCAATACTAACTTGAAATATCACTTTTTAGAATTAGAAATTTTTGAAAGTACAATTTTGAAATCATTAAGATTTTAAATTTGGCCACGATAGAACCTTTTTGGGTATACCCTGTATAGTTAGCGTTCACACTGAACTAGACAGAACGAGATAGTCAAATTTGTGCGAAATTATTAGCACGACTTTGGGACCTCGTAGCTCCTCTAGTTTTAATGTTACGCACAAATATGTAAAAGCAAATTAATTTGGTGGCATATTAGAATTTTAAAAAAGTTTGTTCATCTCAATACTTCTTCAAATTTCAACATAAAAGCGTAAAATCTGAAATTTTCTCTAGTTTGACGTGAGTTACCTTTCCTGTGCCTTTAAGAGAGCCTCTATAGAATCAAAAATATTATCAACAATTGTCTTCGTTTGTTTCTTTCGTTCCATTTCCCCCAGGCCTACCAATAGTTTACTGTACATTTAGAAACATATTAGAGTGAGAACGAGATAACTTTGGAATAGGAAGACGGCATTAAAGCATTAAAAGCTTATATTTGATGTTGTTACGAATAAAACAATTTCACTTATTAGAGATCACTTTTCAAGTGCAATAGGTCTGTTTACATTGTAAAATTACAGTGTTTTATGTGAATTGGTCTGTCATATACCTTCAACCTATTAGTAGTCATCCTATTCCAGGCTTTTCTGATTTTTACTGCAGAAATTGGTTGTTTTTATATTTACAATAATCTTATGAAAAATCGACAAAATATCTATATAAAAAACAAGACATTCAGATGTGCGTATAGCCGGCCAAAGGGCTGGACCGATTGGGCTGATTTTTTTGTGTGGACACTCATGGGTGGCAAAAAAATGAAATTTTTTTTTCAATTTTTTTGCCACGTTAGATTGAAATTTTTGAATATATATATTTGAGTTTAACTTGTCGTAAGAATGTTTTCAAAGTGTAATTATTAAGTTTCTCCCCCAGACTACTCAGACTGTCCCAAGATGAAGATAAATTAAAGGGTTGGAGATAAAACCCTGAACTAGGATTAATCTGATATTTCTTAAAACCCCTGAGGGATGAATCTAAATTTTCAAAAGTATTAAATGAGTTTTAGTTTCAGGAAATTTTTAAATATATAAGTTGAAAATTTCAGATTTCTAGTTTAGAAATATCTTTATAATTCTAGATATTTATATTTAAAACTTTGATCAATGTTATCAAAATAGAACTGTAATTTTTACGCACTTTGATATTGGTTAACGGAGACTTTAATTATTTTTTCTACGATGTTAAAAAATTAAAAAGAAAAGTATTAATTTTTGATCTGAAAGTGCCTCGCACTCAATTTTTTATAATTCCTATATCTTTTCAACCTAATGGTGTAAAACTTGAATATTTTAAATTTGATTATTTGATCTACAGTTTTAAAACTGTAATGTACTTGTTTTAGTTTCAATTTTAAAAAAGTAATTTGCTAAATCATTTTCGGATTTTGCTAGTGAGCGTGCGTGCACATTTTGTTTTGCATAATATTAATTATTTTCCAGTTGTTGAGCTTGACAGGATTACAAAGGGCACTGGGACCGGGGTTTCACCTTTTTCATTTTCTCCTGAGGGATGAAGAATTTTCATTTGTTTGACAATTGTTGATTTTCCACTCTCTCCTAAACAGAAATAAGAAATATAAAAACAAATCTACATTTCACTTTTTCTCTTTATACAAGGTTCATACAAAGAAATTGAGTTTTTGCCACAAACTTAAATTTTGTAATACTTATATCTTTGCAACATAATGATGTAAACCTTTAATATTTCAAACTTAGGATATGTAATCTAACAGATTTCATCTATGGTCTACGACATCGAGTTCTAAAGATATAGGTATTCCAAATATAGAGTTTGCGACAAAAACTCCTTTCCTTTGTAGAGGAATTTTTTTTATAATTATTAGACTACAGAAAAACTAGGATATCGATAGAGGTTTAAATAGTTTAGTTGTAAAGGAATTGAGTTTTTACCACAAGCTCTGATTTCTAATCCTTATATCTTTGCATCTTGGTGTTGTAGACCTCTAATATTTCAATCTATACATTCTGAGATTAAATAGTCTGTGTTTGAAATATCAAAGGTTTACACCGTCAAGTTGCAAAGATAGAGCGATTAGAAAATTTGAGCTTGTGGCAAAAACTCAATTCCTTTTGAATGTCTCTAGCTCTCCAAATGGCGGGTCAACTAGAATCACAAGAAAAGTCCCTCATGTAAAATCTCGACTGCTTGAGCTTAATAAAATCAATAGTTTTGAGGTTAAAGACAAAAAATCTTTTTAAAATCTAAATATTTTTCATTAGAACTAAATATATCGTTAACAGATTTTTTTACTAAGATTACATTTAAAAAGACAAAAATTCAATGATTATGGAAGATGTTGACAAAGTCCTTAAAACACTCAACTTTAAGTAAAAACATTGCAAAAATATTTAGAAAGAAATTTTAAACAGTTTGCATTCATTCTAGGAAAAGTTCAAAGCTTTGTTTTAAAAATATGATAATCTAGAAATAGGGGAGTCACAGCAAACTAGACCAGGAGGAGAAGGTAAATTTTACGCGACATCTCTGGTTGGACTTTGTGACCTCGTAGCTTCTCTAGTTTTGATTTTACACACAATTATGACAGAAGCAAAATTATCCGGTCACATATTAGAAATTCGAACCATTATTTTCTTTAAATATCTCTTTAATCAGAGGAGTTATGATTTAAAACAAGACTTCAATCATACAGGCACGTGCGGAGTAATAATAAAAGATCAAAAGTCAAATGATCAAAACTCTTGAAATTATCAAAAAAGTGTACGCTAAACAGTTGGGGCAGCAACTTACTTTTCTGAAAACTTTTATAAACTGTAAAAATATTAATTAGAAAACATTTTAAAACCCTTTTCTCTCTTTTTCTCTCTGTTTCTTTCTCTCTCTTTCTCTCTCTCTTTCTCTCTCTTTCTCTCTCTTTCTCTCTCTTTCTCTCTCTTTCTCTCTCTTTCTCTCTCTTTTTCTCTCTTTTTCTCTCTTTCTCTCTCTTTCTCTCTCTTTCTCTCTCTTTCTCTCTCTTTCTCTCTTTTTTCTCTTTCTTTATCTCTCTTTCTCTCTCTTTCTCTCTCTTTCTCTCTCTTTCTCTCTCTATGAAATTTAACCGGTTTTGAGATACAGTACAATGCAGTACGATCAGTTGGTGTAATGTTACCCAGATTTGTTTACATTTCTAGCTTGTAGACCTAATTAAAATGTACTGCGTGTGACTGTGTACTGTATAATTCGGTATTTGATCATTTGGCATTTGATCTTTTTTTACTTTTTGCGCACGTGCAAGTATACGATGGAGTATATATATTCTCGAAAATAATAATAGCCGGAAACATTTATTAGAATTCTTTTGTTGCAATAGTGGCGCACTTTTTCTAACTTATTAATGATGAGGACGCACATCGAGGACAGGGTATTTAGGACGCAGAATGAGAATTTAATATTGAGAAGGTACTTTTTTTATTTGGACGTACTTGATGATTTTAATGCTATATTCTTTCATAGAACAAGAATCATTAAAAATGATGTAATCAGAAATATAATCTTGATTAAATTGATTTTCTCATAAACCATATATTTTATAATGTCCAAATTATAAAATGAGCATAGTGTTTATTGAATAGAAGGAAGACTTTTCCCATGTTTATTGGGATGCTCTGAGTAAGATTCAGTAATACGAGATAAAGAATAAATAAAGAATGTTTGAACTTGTTCCTTATATAAGGAGTAAACTAATGCTCATGTTTATTGAGAGGCTTTAAATGAAATTAAGATAAATTCTAAACCCTTGAACGCGAATAAGGAACAGATGGAAGAAATTATTCCGAAAAGAATAAGTAACTTAATTACTGCATGTTTATTGGGAGGCTCTGGAAAAAATCAGTAATTCTAGATTAGAAATACATTACACAGCAAACTAGACAGTGAGGGTTAACTTTATGCGAAATTACTGGCACGATTTTGTGACGTCACAGCTCATCTAATTTTGATTATACGCAGGTGAGAAAATCAAGTTTATCCGGTTACATAGTACAAATTCAAAACAGTTTTTTTCTTCTCAATTAATCATCAATAACATAGATTAAAAAAATATAAGATTTCAAATTTGCGTAAAATTTAAAACTAACCCTAGTCCATCGTGGCTTGACGTGAGTAATATGAATAATAAATAATTGAACCTGTTCCTAGAAGAAGAAGTTTAATAACCCTGGCAGAGGAATCAAAATCTTTTCGTAGTTTTCTGTCCAGTTCTCTACTCCGTTGAGATAATTCATCCTTACTCATACACACTCCCATACTTAACATTCAGTTATCAGGTCAAAACTTTAAACTGATAAACCTACAGTAAATAAAGGGATTCTACCCGATTATTGCCATATTAAGTGCAAGCTGAAGTGCCCGGCGTTGCCTGTGGAATTGAAAAACATTTTAAAGAAGTGCGCAAAAAGAAATTGAGTCTTTTCAAAGATTTTCTAATCTTTTGTATCTTCGCAACCCAATGACGTCATGTTCCTTAGATATTTCATAACATGAATTCTGTTACTCCATCAGGTTACACACCATCAGGTTGCACAGATATAGGGATTTTAACATTTGAATATGTGGCAAAAACTCATTTCCTTTGAATTAATAGAATTAAGATACTGATTAAATTGATTAAAAGCATTTCTGAAAAATTTAACTATTAACCTGGCTTTTCCCTAATCACATAAAGTGTTTGTTCATGTTGATCTATAATATATATATAATATATATATTTCAATCATATTTAGTTCAAAAATAAACCTTTATTTTTCTATAATATATATATTTCAATCATATTTAAAAACATAAACCTTTATTTTTCTATAATATATATATTTCAATCATATTTAATTCAAATATAAACCTTTATTTTTCTTTTTCTTGTAAGAGGAGTTCAACAGTTTTAATCTTTAATTTTTTTCAAACATCCTTTTAAATTTTCGTACTGAACATATTTGATTATCTAAACAATTATTTTAGCAATTTTTTTAAAATAATTATGATCCTACAAATGTCAACCCTGGAGAACGATTGAACCCTTATCAATATATGACCTAGGGTTGGTTCAAGTCTTATCAATTCATTGACACTTATAAGTTCCTTCGAATAATTAAAATTAAATTCATGATATTTATTATTCTGCTTTTAAAATATATGATTCCAGATATTGGGGCAATGATATATTCTTTGGAGAAAAAAAAAACATCGGTAGCTGTTGAACGAGCGGTTGAGACTTGAGACAAAGAGCTTATATACTGGTAGTGTTTAGAATAAGAAGAAAAATGGGTTTTAAAAATAAATTTAACGTTTTAAATCAAACTCAAATATTTATAATCCTATTTTGTTTAAACCGCTGAAATTGCAACTTTTTATTTAACTTTTTTGTGTCTTCAACTATAAAAGTTAAACAAATATATGTAAAAACGTAAAAACCATCGGTGAGAAAAAAATTTATTTCTAAAGATATTATGATTTCAGATGTGGAATCAATTTTTAAATAAAGACACAAAAAAGTCGCATTTTTTATACTGAACTACGTCGTATAGAGTCTTGACTATAAGATCTCAACCGATCTATTAACCGCTACCGCTAAATTTTTTCCTCTAAAGATGTATCATTGATTTAGGAGATTCTACATGTGTTTTATTTTCTTTCGGATACACTGAAGATAGATTTGCGGATTCTTTATTAAATAAAAGACTTGGGGACCTTGATTTAAGTCTCTAAATTTTAAATTGATCTATTACACCAAATATCCGAAATTGCAGCAGTGAATTGAAATAGTTGAATTACAAACATTAATTGCATGCAGCTTTTAAATGGATATTCTGATAAAAAAAGACTTACTTTCATTATACCGAAAAAACATTTGCCCAAAACTTTTTTTTCATATTTATCATTTTTATAGTATTTACTTTTATTGTAATGCAGTCCCGTTCCTAAGTTTTGAAATATTCACCTCAAAATGAAATTCTTTGTTTTTTAAGGACTGTATTGTAAAATTCGATCAATTTTATTATTTAAAAGAATTTATTCTGATTTGTCCAAGTATGAAATTTGTATACAATGAATTCTAAAAAACTTTTCATATTTAAAAAAATTTCTTTATTTCTTTTTTTTTAAATGGACAGAAGTTGATAAAATGATATTTTATATTATTTAATTGGAATTTACAACTGTAAAATTATATCCGCAACATGACAAACTAAATAAAGCAAATATAAAATGTTTTAGAATTAACAAAGTCTTCAATATCCCTCAAATACAGCCTGTAAAATTTTTTATTCATTCTAAGGGGGGGAGCGGGGCTATGTAGTTTCCCCTCATTTTGCCCTTAAGCGCGTCTTCCCAACGTTCATGGTTTGGTGAAGTGTAGTGTGTAATAATGGTGAAGTGTAGTGTGTAATGTTGGTGAATTATAGTGTGTAATGTTGGTGAAGTATAATGTGTAATGTTGGTGAAGTGTAGTGTGTAATGATGGTGAAGTGTAGTGTATAATGTTGGTGAAGTGTAGTGTGTAATGATGGTGAATTATAATGTGTAATGTTGGTGAATTATAATGTGTAATGTTGGTGAAGTATAATGTATAATGTTGGTGAAGTGTAGTGTGTAATGATGGTGAAGTATAATGTGTAATGTTGGTGAAGTGTAGAGTGTAATGAATGGTGAAGTGTAGTGTGTAATGTTGGTGAACTGTAGTGTGTAATGTTAGTGAAGTGTAGTGTGTAATGATGGTGAAGTATAATGTGTAATGTTGGTGAAGTATAATGTGTAATGATGGTGAAGTATAATGTGTAATGTTGGTGAAGTATAATGTGTAATGTTGGTGAAGTGTAGTGTGTAATGATGGTGAAGTGTAGTGTGTAATGTTGGTAAAGTATAATGTGTAATGTTGGTGAAGTGTAGAGTGTAATGATGGTGAAGTGTAGTGTGTAATGTTGGTGAACTGTAGTGTGTAATGTTAGTGAAGTGTAGTGTGTAATGTTGGTGAAGTATAATGTGTAATGTTGGTGAAGTGTAGAGTGTAATGTTGGTGAAGTATAATGTGTAATGTTGGTGAAGTTTAATGTGTAATGATGGTGAAGTGTAGTGTGTAATGATGGTGAAGTCTAGTGTGTAATGATGGTGAATTGTAGTCTTTAATGTTGGTGAAGTATAATGTGTAATGTTGGTGAAGTGTAGTGTTTAATGTTAGTGAACTGTAGTGTGTAATGTTGGTAAAGTGTAGTGTGTAATTTTGGTGAAATGTGTAATTTGTTAAAATTGATTGTCTGGTGCTTAATTTAATTTTGTTTATAAATGAACAGTTTATTTTGAAATAAAACTGAAACTAAAACAGCGTTGTTGCCTTTATTTTATTTGAATTATAAACGGAACTAATTTTCCAGTTTTTTTATCAAAACTTAATTTTCTAGGATTTTTTTCATTTTAAATTAAATTTGAATTACGAACCATAGTGTAATAAGGTTAGTTTCATAATATAAAATTAATTTTAAAAAAGAAAAACTTTTAGACGATTGGTTTGTTTTGTCGTTCAATTCAAAATGAATCAAAACTTAAAAATTGATTCAAATCCTTCGATAGTATTTAATATGACAAATGAAAACTGCACATTTAATGAAGTTCATTGAACTGAATTAAAGATTGAGGGAGATTAGATGAAAGGGACTGTTAACCTAATATCAAATGACGCTCAGCTTACATGGGTTTAATGTGATACTGCCAGATTCACAATGGTGTAATAGTCAATTCGGCAAGTCTTCAAATGTAGAGCGCATTTCAAATGACAGTCTCTTTAAGTCTAAAAGGTCTGATACAGAGAATGTCATTGATTTCAATCTTGCAGTGGTTTAAGTTTGCTTATTTAGTCTTGAAGTACTTGGCATTCAATACAAGTTGGTTAATCCTGTATATAGTATACATTAAGACAATTTCAAGGGACCATCCATTTAAAGAGATACCTCCTTGATCAACTCTAATGAAATTTCTTCTTCTCTTTCGAATCAAATCTTGAGTATTTATGCAGTGAAAACAAGGTAAAAAATTGGCGCAGCTACTCTATTTAGAAGAGAAAACTTTAATCTTTTTTATTGTTCTTTAAAGGGAGTGACCGGGAATGTATGGGGGTTGAATTGAATATGCAGTTTTATGGACAAATTTGTTAGTATTCATTTCAGACATATAAAACGTTTCTTCGACGTATATTTACTTTACTATTACTTTGAGCGCAAAGTCGACGTTCAAAATCATGAATTTGGGTGGGTACGTTTTCAGAATCGTTTTTTTTTAAATTAAATAAAAACGACAAAAATATAGTACAAATCCTATAGTAAACCAATTAGATATTTAATAACATATTTCTCAAAATTAAAAATTTGTCCATAAATCAATGTTAAAATTTACATTTCCTTTTTCATCATTATATTGAATTTTTTATTTTCTATGAATTTGTTCGCAGATTTAAACATATTCTTCAAATGTCGTCTTTTCAATAAAAATTCCAGAAAATCTTTGTGAATAATGAAAGATTAAAGAAACTAATAATTGAATAAGATTACTTCCTTTCGATGATAAGGGTTAATTTTTATTTTCTCAACTTGTTCCTTAACAACTAAATAGTTTGCTGTAGAATTTTGTTTACATTTTTTGTCGTCGTTATTGAATAATTAAAAAAAAACAGATTCTAAACACGTAACCACACAAATTCACGATTTTGAACGTCGACTTTGCGTATAAACGCAGTAAATATACGTCGTAGAATTGTTTTTTATGTCTCAAACTAATCGTAACAAATTTGTCCACAATACTGCATATTCAGTTCAACCACCATACATTGCCGGTCACTCCCTTTAGTTAAATTTTAATGGATACCGTATCCATATTAGGGTAGGTAACTCCTTAAATTGAGTGTCACTTGAAATTACGCAGCTTCTTTTACAATAAAAAATATTGTTCTCATCAGGATAGTGAGTTTTGTGATGAAGATTTAATTATTAATAAAGATATTTGTTTTCTCATGATTCTTACAGACATTCCCACACATTAATTGTTATTTATGTCAATTTCAGTCTATATTAGACACGTGTCTTATTCTCATCCGGGATTCAGTCTTCTCACCCGATCCCTTCCTCCTTCTCTATCCAACCTTCTCCAAGCTTTTCCAAACCTTACTCCGGGCTCAGATCCTCGGAGAGAGACTGTTTACGAGACTCCGACAGTTTTATTTTAACACTGGTTCAGGATACATATAAGATATTTATATATATCTATACTTACAAATTAGTATCTCTGTTTGGGTGTTTATTTTTTGTTTAATTGTTTGTTAGGACCGATTGGTCTCAAACTTTGGTTGAGGAACCCAGTAGTACCACGGGAATGGTATTGAGACTGAGTTGGTTGACTTGTATAGGAATACTGCAGGCAAAGCTGGGTTCCTAAGCTATTGTAAGATATTTCTGGAACCAGATTTAATAAAAATCGAGAAGGAGTTGACCTGCGCCGACGTAGTTAATTTGGTTCAAAGATATTTGATATTTCTCAATATATTTTCAATTCAGTTAGAGGATGAAACTTTTGTACGGGATAGCGCCTTGCTTAGGTGATTAAACTAGTAATCCACTGCACAAACTTTTTTATTGGGTTTGACGCTCAGAATCCGACTTTATACTGGAACCGATTTTACCCAAATATGTGGCAACTCACATAGACCGGCCCAAGGAAGGTTTATATATGACCGTC